ATGAGTTTCACCTTCCCTTCACTGCAATCTGGCAAATAATAGGTGCTAGTCTCTGTTTTGTAAAATGTAGTTTCGGTGCTAAAGGGGAAATTTTGTTAGCATACAGATGCCTTGCATTTGCATTGAAATGTGGTATCCGGCCCACACTTTAATGAGTCTCGACTTTATTCCTTTCTTCTTTTCATTTCAGCCATGTTACATGCTTATTTAAAAATGTATGGTACAAGATGTAACCAATACTGTTTAAGCTACATTAATTACTAACTTTCTGTTTTTGTTTTACTTAGTTTTGGGCAAGTTTCTTTACGTTTTTAGCAAGAATAATATGTATATTTTTATACTGACTGTAAAAAAAAAAAAAAAAGGTCACTTTTAATATGCATGTGTCCCTCACAGATACAAAGGGAAAGGTGTCAGTTGTGTAATTCTTCTTTCGACTTTGCTGCAGTTCTAGCACTTTGACATTTGTTAGTGGTAGTGTATTTATTATGTTTTATTTAATTTTGGAGGTAGAAATAAAATATGTTTTTATAAGAAGGTACAGACATCCTTCATATCTCTCTTTGTGCATGAAGCTTCCCCTTTAGGGCTGTAAACTGCTCTGGCATTGAGATATATACTCAGTGGGACTGATTTATTGAAATTAAGTACATTTGTGTGTTTGATTCAAGCACCCAATCACGTTTAGGAAAAATGATTGGTTGTCTAAAATGAACATGGGTTTACTTGGCTTCAGTAAAACAGCCCAGTGTTGATCTGAACATATTTCACATGGATTAAGGACTTACCAATATTACACCTCTCGTAGTTGTTTTACTTTGTCGTTTAATATATTGTTTCGATAATAAACCACTGTAGTTAAACATCATGATACACTGGTTAAAATCAGAGGAGGTATTTCTCAAATCCCTTATCATATCACTTGTTATGCTCTGTCAAGTTAAGTTGAAGTTCCCCTGTGTAGGTCACGGGCACATGAGAACATTCAAGATGTTGCTCTGTAGAAGATCTTCTCTTCTATGGAACAAAATTTACAAAACAGGATTAGTGTTCTTTGTAGACAGTTTCCTTTTCCAATTCAAATAATATCTTAGGGCATAGTTTACTAATGGGATATCTTTTGTACTACGGTCACCAAGGCAATTTAAAAAAGAAAAGAAATTCCCTTGCCTATGATTAGATCTATGAAGTGAGCAAATTCACTAAAACATGAAGAGTTTAGTAAGCTTATAGTATACTGCCCACTATTTTTCACAGATGGATGAAGTCCATTTGTCATTTTTATCAGCCTTAACGTTGCCATAGAGTTCCGAGCATGGTTAAATATGCAGACATGATCTGATCCTCAGAAGTCTTTTTCTAATACAGGCCATAACATGCACGGTCGGTACTTCCAAGCAGTGTGTTTATGCCTGTGGAATAGAAAGGGACACCTCTGGAACCAGCTTATCATGGGGTAGAGACATTAGCTATTGGACAAGGTTTTCTAACGTATCCAAATAATCTTCATATGAAGATTGGTCAGTTATGTCTGTGTCCTGACATCCAGAGAATGAGATTGCCACCCAATTCAGTCAATTTCCATCTCATCTCTATGGCCAGCTATAGTCTAACACAAAGGCCAGTACAAAATTCATAGTATTTTACGTTGTGGCCATGCAAGCCTGTCAGGCCAATCGGCCTTCTTATTTTCTAATATACTTTTTAACTATAATGGATAATTACAGGATTGTAGAACTATTATTAGTACGTAAATTATAATGTTAGGTCAGTAAGCTGAACATTAAATACAGTAAGCAAATGTATCAACTGAATGCTAGCAAATCATTTAAGTATTTTTTTTATAGTATGCCAACCTAGATACCAGTTCTGCCAAACCCCTTGTAATTGAAGTGATATATGATGTGTAGAAGCCGCATTCAGTGAGTCCTCACAATCTCAGTGTAGCTTCCCTTAAGCACAAAATAATATAGTGTAATCCCGTAATTAAATAGTACCTCCTCTATGCAGCAGTGGGATCCATTTTGCTAATACAATCAGTAATCAGAATGCAGCCAATAAAATGGCTCTCATGTTTAAGACAAAAACTTTTAAAGGCTTTAATGTAGTTTCATTGTACTGCCTTTGTGGCAAAACTGATTACAACGTGTAAAGATTATAACTATGAATTATCCATGAAATATATTTTCAATTTGTTTTGATGGCTTACATAATACATCTGCTTTTGGAAGAAAATGCCATTGTCCATAACCAATGTGTGATTTGTTTAAACAACGCTATAAGCATATGTCTCTAGAAACACATTTTGTAGAAAGATTCACTCCATGGAAGAAATGTATACGCTGAATTGTTTCATTTGTATAGAATATTTATTTTGAAGCTCTATTTTAATAGTATTTATTTTAGAAATTCTTCTATTGTAAGAGTTCTTCTGTTTGTGAAGAAAAAAAACACAAGTTAAAAACTGAATGTACTGATCTAGAAATATATAAATATATATATAAAATATAAATATATGATTATATATTGTTGAATATATTGAATGTCTCCTGTGTTTATTTTATGCATTAGTTCATGAGTCTGTTATATAAAGAACAGCATTCATCTCACAAAACATTTGAGCATATTTCATATGGTCCAATAGATGAGCAGCTATATTGGCCATATGCAGTATAGGCTGCAAGGACGGTGTCCACTTGATGGACTACAAAATGTTCCTGCAAGCCTGGCCACGGTAGCCATGTCTACCCTTACAAATCTGGTACCTGGCATTGCCAGCCAAGGGTGCAGACACAATCTAATACTTGTAAGACCAGAGAAAAATCAGGTCTTTTTAATACTTAGCGGGTTATTCACTAATGAGCCGAAGGATCTAGCCGTTGCTTCGGCTGATCCTTCGTCTCACTTCGGCCTCCTGAGCCCTTAGGTTCACTCGAACCGAAGGGCTGCTGTACGGGCTATTCACTATAGCCCGTACAGCAGCTGAAAGCAGCCAAGCCGAACGCATATGATTCGGCTCGGCTAAGCTGTAGTGACAGGTGAAGCGTGGAGAAAGGTCGGCCGAAGTCGACGCGATCTCCACGCAAATTACCTGGGGATGCTGATTTATCATTAAACAATAACAACTGGGCGGAGCCGGCCAAGACGTCATGGCCGGCTCCACCCAGTTGTTATTTATTGGCAGGTGTCAGCCAATAGGAAACAGTTGGGCGAAGCTAGCGGTGCCGTCACCGCAAGCTCCACCCAATGGTTTTTGTTTTGCTGTCACCTGTCAGATGCTTCACTATGTGGCGGGAGTTTGTCGGGTCGGCGTGCGTCGTTTTTTAATTATTGTTGTTTATTTTCTTAAAAATATATATTTTTAAATTTTACATTTTTTAAATAATTTTTCAAAAATGTTTTTTTCATTTAACTTTTTTTCTTTTCTGCTCGCTTCCTCAGAGGTACCGAGCAGAATAGCCAAGATGAATGCCGCTTGGCGGCATTCGGCTATTCACTTACTGCCATTCGGTCCCTATGAGAATAGGGGCAAACGGTAACGAGTGAGCTGCTTTGTCTCTGATGTAGTTCAGTAACTGGTACAGGTCTTGTCCTCCCAATCCGTGACGATGACCTGATGAGGTCATCTCTCTGTCATTCTGCACTCTTCTCCTATCAGCATGCCCCGCTTTCTTATATAAAAAAACTGCAGCACATCTGGTTGGTTCCTTGTGCTGCTTCTCCCTCATTCAGTTGGAGTTCTGTACAGGATGTGAAAGAGGCTGATGCTAAATTTCCACAAATACAGTTAGCATTCAATAATTGGTGTATTTTACATTTGCCTGGAGAGCTTTAAAGTCATAGCCGCCACTTCCTCTCAGATCTGTGTTTTACATTTCCAAATGTAAGCTATAAAACACTTTAAAAAAGCAAATTAAACCCATGTGTATAATACCTAAGAGGTGGGCAATGTTGCCATAGCCTGGTGTCTTCACTTTTCTATGGAAGCTCTGCCTGAAAAAGGGCAAACACAAAGGACTCCGATATGGCCTGTGGTCTCCCTTTAATTGAACACCCTCTCCATTACTGCCTATAGGCACACAGGCAGAAAAAAATGCACTGCTATTTTTCATGAAGAATTCAAGACAAAAGGTACATTTCTTAGGGTACTGATGAGGTACATTTCACATGTCTACATGTCCCCCTTAACTTAGCAAATCATATATATATATATATATATTTTATTTTAAACAAAGAGGAATATCTCATTACACTACAGGCATCCATACTGTACATAAGTTGTACGCATTTACCACTGTTCTGCAGGCATTAAAATAAGCACAACATGCTTGTAATGGTGATGGTATCCATGTATCCCTCACCTGTGTGATATGGAAAATATGAATAAGTCACAATATTGGCTGTGAAGAATATCAAATCTTTTGACAGATAAAATAGTAAACAAATATATATTTCAGTAGTCTATTTAAGTTTGCCTCAAGATTCAGTTTAACATTCTTGTGTTAAAAATGTTACTCCCTTGTACATCACTGTTCCTTATTAATTTATTGAGTTAGCATTGATGCCATTACCAGTGGCACACCGGGGCCTCAGCCTGGGGGGGCCCAGCACAGTCCCTGTGCATAGATGGTGGGACTTGCCGGCCACCAGATCGGTATCCAGCGGCCAGCGGGCCCCCAGTCTCTGC